CATAAAATGTAAAAGAAGTATTCTACATGGAAGGAAACTATTCTGCCTATTCAAGTTTACTTAATTTTCAATCTCGTAATTGTAGTCTCACGGGTAATATAGGAGTCATATTTTGAAGATATCGTAAATATCAGGGTGATACTTAATTCACAATCTCGTGTTGGTGTCCCCAATGTTATGTATAACGTCTGTTACTTACACCATTTTATCAAGTTCCTCAAAACCATGAACTGCTAGATTAACCTCATCACCTTTTGTTAACCATAGATTTTCAATAACAGGTGGTGAACTATCAAAATGGACGGTCAACGATTCTTCCTTGTATTGAGATAAAATATCGTAACCTTTGATAAAATATCGTAAAGTATCGCCATCTTTCAGAACTGGTGTTATTGTCACTTGTTGATCAAGTCCTAGATCTACGAATTCATTTTGAGAAGGCTGGTTAATCGAACTTCCTCCAGAGTGGTCCACTTTATGTATGCTTTTAATACTAACAATTCCTGAAAAATTAAATCCAAATTATCTAATATAATATTCAAATGTCAAGGGTAAGATCATATAACAGGCAATAAAAATGGAGCAATCCCTTAAGATTTTTCATAAACTTTATATGCATTTGATATAATAATAAAACGTAGTCATCAAGGTCCAAACTGTTCGGATTTTGCTGATTGCACATTATTTCGCCATTTAAGTTTACCTAGGCTGTTGAAGGTGGCGCACCGCTGATTTATCAATATCATGTCTGGTAAAACTGTTTGACGGCCTACAGTCATACCTCCAAACCATAATTAAACCTCTGTTACCTTGTACATTACTGATTGCCTGTGTTGTTCTAGACCCATAATTATCATCATATTGAGACTCTACACCAGGTTCTGGTTTAACAGCTGCTAGAAAACGACCATTATGATGTACAGTGTTGATATATCTATTAGTCCAGCTGATTGTAACAGAATTTAAATTAGTCTGCCATTTGTAATTGGTAGTAGGAACAGCAGTTGTCACTCTAAGCACACTCCCAGACGTCGTTGTTACAGCAGATGTGTCATCAAATATAATCAATCGTCTGGCTTTCTTGTAATTTCCAGCTTTATCATAAGCTGATAAAATCATGGAATACACGGCGGGATCGGGGAATGTAACAACAACACTTTTCTGAAAGAATAGAGTTTCACAATGACAAGCATATTACAAATCTAAACATACACCTTTATCTTCATCTTTCCGAACTAAACATTTTAGTATACACTTCATTTTGTAGTCGTATTTACTACCATTTTAATTATGTCGGTTTTTATGTTGTAGTTGGTTATTGGGTTTTATCTGACTTTGTCAACGATATCATTTAATTGCTTTTATTACATCTTTATTCTTTTTTTCTAGGTCTGAATTCTAGGCTTGTTAAACTCTGACTGTAAATATTATAATAATTCATAATGTACTATCATAGATGTTGTAATTTCCAGTATTTCATATAAACATAGTTATAACAACACAGTGTTCCATAGTTAATTGATTATTGAGATTTTATACAAAACGTAAAAGTCCTGATTAGAGAAGTGTCACCATAGTGACACATACTGAGGCTTTTGGAGACCGCGGCCAGGATAGTCACAAAGTCCGCTTTGCGGTGCCGTTGTCTTGGGATACGGGACCAGGATAGTGTCACAAGACTACTTTATTGAAACTTTGATGTCGGAAGCATTATTTTGTCATTGTAAATATTGCATATCATACTCACTGACGTAGTTCTCGAGTCCGACTTCCTCGCCTTGACACCAAGTTCATTACCAACACGATGAAGTTCAAACAGTTCATACTCGTATTCTTTAATCCGGGCATCTGTATCCATCCAGCCGTCCCATGAAAAACGTTGAGTACGCTAGTCAATAAATAATTTAGGATTAGATAGAAATAGTGGCTGTAGACTTTATTCTCACGTCATTCCAGTTGATATTATATCGCCGTGAATGGTATTTAAATAAACGAAATGGTTTTATTCCCAACAAACTAAATGGGTTTTCAGGAATAACAACGTCATCGACGGAGAAATACTTATGAAGCACTAGCCTGGGGGTAAAAATTAAAAAGTGGCAAATGTTAAACTAAATTGTTCAGAATCGGGTTATTCCGTACTTACTCTAAAGGATGCATTTGAAGCTGTATAAGGTAAGATAATATGAGGATGAAATAAATAATGCATCGTTGGGAATTTACAATGATATAAACCTGTTCGGAAAGTGAAGGCATTTCTTAACATAGTAAGTAGTGGGACAACTGAACACCTACTCTGAGTTATCTCTACGCGCTACTCCCTGATTGAGACTCTGGTATACACTAAATCCATTGTATGCCCCCGCCACCCCGACCATCCTCATCCCAGCCATATGCCCAAATGCTTCAAATTCACTTAAATTGTTCTGCGAAATCTCAACATCACAATGCATGTCTAGAGGACATCTTCATGGGGTTACAATTAAATAGATGTACACGGAATGGATGTGATATAGAATAATATGTGTCTTATCTGGACGATAATCTGTTTGAGGTTTACAATAATATTGGTCTAGAGTATATGTACCTGTTTAGATAAGTCTACATCAGAGAGCATATCTAGAGAACATCCTGACCTGGGTTTACAATGATATGGATCTACACTGTCAAATGTTATAGAAAATGTATTGGTTTGAGTCAATCCTTGTAGATATCTAGTTTCCACCAAGTTTGTTTCTTTATTTTCAATCTTAACAAATCCACCATTGGCAACGGACATCGAAAACGTGAGTCTAAAATGTACATCATTGTAAACTGTGAGCAAGACATTTTGTTTTAACTACAGAATATCAAATATTGGTTATGATATCTGTATAAAGACATATCTGTCAAATGTGTACATTCATCAATCTTCATTGAATTTAAAAAGGGACATAACTGTGCGAATAACAGTAACAAATTATTGACAGCACTTGTTGTCTGGATAGTTACATCTGAATATTGTATGTAAATCTTAAACAGAGAAGATAACACTGTATCCACTGTTGTATTCACAATGATCACGAAAGTGAAATATGTCTGTCAGTTAGCCCCAATCAACCCAGCTATATGCAGTTACATAGAAACTGTTTCGCACTTTAGACAGCACATTTGGGTACTTTGCCCAAGACTTCAAGAGCTTAAGGCAGAGAATAGGGCTTTTACTGTATTCTAGCCCTTTGAGCATCATAATTAGTGAAAAAGAACAAAAAACATTTTTATTCCATTCTCTCGTGCATGTGTTTTGTGATATCATGCTAGTTAATTAAAACCCTTACACATCATTATGATTAAATGGTAGAGATAATGATTATGTTCTTGGTAAGTCAAAAACAATCGAAAAACGTTTTTATTCTCTCGTGCATGCGTTTTGTATTAGCATGCTAGTTTTTTGTGCGAAAACTTACACATCCTTGTGATTAAATGGTAGAGATAACTGAGATAAATCTGTTAATGTCTGTTCACAGGTAAACACGCCCTGATTAGGATTACTTCGACTCTGTGGTCCGCCACAAGGATGAGAAAGAATATTATTGACATCTGAAATAGAACAACGTATTCCAAGAACAAAGGAATCATCTGGCATCAAGTAAATATAAGTTGGTTTCAATCGCCCGGTGTGCTGTTAACAAATGTTTGTCTCTCAAAAATATGAAAATCCATGGGTTTTTTTTTTTACTTTACTTACTTAAACATACATTATGCAAGAGCTAAATCTGCCTATTGCAGGTCTTTCTTTAACCCTGAAATGTTATCTAAATTATTAATGAGACATAAATTAACTTATCCAGATCATAATCAACTCTCGGCGTCATCGCTAGCCAGCGATATTTACTGAATTATGATCCAATTTGCTGCTCAACTTTGATTCATGATTAAATCATGAAATGGATAATCGAGACTATGTTTTTTATCCTACCGACATTAGTAATAATGACCGAGGCCAGGCCGAACATTCAATCGGTAAATTCTCGGTTAGAAGAGTATCAATTTGACTGAAAGTTTCAGCAAATTGCCTTTACAATATATAGTTCTAACCATTATAGTAAGAACTGCCAGCTCTTTATCTAATCTACAATAATGTATATTTAATAATATATCCGACACTATGGTTACACTTATGCAGTGTCACGGCGCCAAAAAGACAGACATTTCACTTTCGTGTGTCGCTGTATCCAGACTTTCACATTAATGTACTTTTTTTAAATGGATAAAACCTGTGTTGTTATAATAAAGTCCTTGTTTATATATGAAATACAAGAAACTACAACATCTATGATAGTACCTATAATATCTACAGTCTGAGTTTAACAAGTCTAGAACCAGATTTAACGGATGAAACACTACGTGTTGTCTCTATCCCGGCCTAGGCCGAGGCGGCTAATGGTACGTCTCCCTTGGAACGTCGTTTGATAATCTCCATCCCATAAGCCAGGGGCCCTGGGTACGTCCTTCTAAGAACACTACGCGATGTCTTTAAAACACTTATCGCGCTGCATGGTTTAATTTATATATAAAGTTTAGGTACGTCAGCTATTAGCGCGGACCATTACCATATTTTGATACGTGTTTTATTGGGCACCCATTTACGTCATCCCTATTGTATAAAATTGGTCCAATCTGTACTATACCAGATGGCCGGAGACCGATGACCTGTCCATTAACGTAATAGTCATTGACCGATTTTAATCGACAAAGTACCTAACTATCCCAAAGCTTAGAAAGCTAGCTATCACCAATTTGTAGTTAACGACTTCAATACATTAAGCAAAACACCATTCAGAGAACTTAAATAACCCCTATAGATATACAGTATTGCTTATGGTTCATAGGGCATTAAGCTATAGGATTAAGAACATTAATACTAATGCAACCAACGCGAATAACGTATAGAAAATTACAGTTTTGTGTTGTATTGATACAGTATTAAAAGGACCCTTACCTCTTTCCAGACGTAAACTCGCACTAATAATGCCAACTTTAAAATCCTTGACATACGCCTGTCGAGAAGGTACAACTGGTTGGTAATCCGCAGTAAATCTAAAGTGAATATTAACAGGATTAACCATATTAGTCCATACAGTATCTTGAACTGGTCCTATATTTGTATTTCCTGGTGCATCAGTTTTACCGCCATTATTAGCTGTCAGACTTAGTATATTCTCTTTAATTGAAGGCTTTTCTGTTACTAAAAAGATATAATGGCAATAATAGCTATTAATTTACAAACGCGTTTTACTAATCCGCACAGGTTTTAGTACTGACTTAAGTTTACTACACTCCTTAATACTGCATTTTAACAGTTTAAACAAACTCAACCAATAGTGAATACGCTTCCTTAACAGCTTTGCAACACGCCATCTGAATTAGTTACTAATGAATAATTCGTTATTGTGAATATTATAAAACGCCGTAGAATAGTATGTTTACAGTAATTTTATTTAGAAATTTTAACACAGAATGGGGGAGCAGACTAGACCTAATGACACGGTTTTTTTTTATCAAATCGATGTCGACAAAACCCTACTACAACCGTTTGTGTGATTATATCGCTAAAATTTTAAAAGACAGTGGCAACACTTACTTTTATCGCAGTTTGATCCTGTAAATCCTGAGGTACATATACAATTTGATGCCAATTCATTAGCACAGCTTCCGGGATAACATGGAGTACTGTCAGATCGCCAGGAACACGCCTCTGTAATAATACAAATATAATTTATGCTGACCATACAAAAATGGCTTGGATTGATTGAATTCCTGGACCATTGACCTCTGCCAGATATAACGACACATACACACCTCAAACACATGTTAGTCAAATATGTGAATGGATAACGTTGTTTTTAGAACTGGGTCGAAGATAACCGCTATACAGCATGCATCTTTATTTCAACATCAAGGGCCGAATTTATGTTGGTCATATATTATAGAATATTGATACCTGTACATTAAATACTAACTTGTACAGCGTGTTTTATCACTGGAAACAACATAAGCTCTATAGTCAGGTTTTTCATCTCGTACTCCTTCACATCTAGAGCACCTCTCATTCCATGATGATGTACACGTTTCCAGATCACAATTTGTAATAGCTGAGCACACTATAAAATTTAATGAAAATACGTTACTAAATCATACTACACTATCAACGACAAGCGTTAACAATTATTAAATGCCCATCTACTATTGAATGTGGATCACGCTTTACAATATCTGTCAGTTAAGCTCACACTTTACTTTTCATGCCATCTGTTGTGACTGTCGCATTTCATATATGAGACGACAGTATAATTATTACTATCTGAATATTTATAAACGACATTCGGTCCATGCATTTTTAAATTACATTCTATTCGTTGATCAGAACAAAGTAACACATCGCCGAACTCGTTACGCTTAATGAGGGTGATTTCTATGAGTCCCACGCTCGTATATTGCTAAGTCAATACCAACTTTATTTAATATTTTTTTAAGAATAAAATACAAAAAACAAAAAAATGATAGATCAGAAAAAAGATAATACATACTCTCACACGTCGGGCCAGTCGAATAGAAACCATCTTTTGGACAGCTACATTGATCAGGATTTGGACATGTACCATATATATATCTTTGAATACTACCATCACTATATTTTATATGGGAGTTGGGGAAATAGTTATCACAAGCTGATGGGTCAATCTTGTTATCACATAAAGCTAGAATATAAAGTACACACAGTTCAATATGTAATAGGCCATAACGTAATACCAATGTCAGTTCCACATAATAGTTACCGGCCTTACTCCTCATACTACCATTATATGGGAGTTGGGAAAATAGTTATCACACGCTGATGGGTCTATCTCGGTGTGACATGGCTTGAATATAAAATACATACAGTTCAATGTGAAATAGACAATCATGTAATACCAATTGCAGTTTAATGTCTGACAGAGAGAGAGAGAGAGAGAGAGAAATGGGGTCATTTCGGGACTAACATATGGTTTAATTTTATTTCAATAATTCGCTTGCGCGTAGGGGTCTTTAGCAGTGGGAGGAAACCGGGGGACCCGGAGAAAACCCACGAGGTTGGACAGGCGATCCTACTCCTTGTCACGTACAACCGGGTATTCGAAACCACACCAGTCGACTCAATGACAGACTTTATGATACAGCGCGCGCACGCTAACCATTCAACCATTCAGCCATCCAACCCCCCAATGTCTGACAGACCATAATCTAATACCAATAACAGTTCCACATAACAGTTTCTAATCTTAGTCCCGATACATCCCATTTCTTGGTCTGTGACATTTCATCACATGTTGCTAATCATCTCGAATTTTTAACGTGTCCAGACTGAGGTATATGGATAGTGTACAAGACATTGGGGGTTGGTGGATTACCAAACAAAAAAAAATATGAGGTGCACAAACAGTATACATACCTATCACGCGCAATGTGTTGAATTTCGTCAAAATCAATCGGACGCAATTGTTCATTAATACACCCACCCCCACCCTCACCCCGCCCCCCTCAATTCACACCTACCAATTACGTAATTAGCTAATACAACCACCCTATCGGTAACCATCTCATCCATGTAAAAGTTTATTCTATTTCTAAAAAGTTTATGAAATGAAAAAACGACTGCCAAATTTCAATAATTTCTCCAAATCGAAACATGTCATCAATAGATAAAATTTCTGCAAAATCTGTAATTTAAACAATCTTAAGAAAATCTTTTAAAAAAATCTTCAAATCAATTTATTCTTTCTTTCTAGGAATTATGTAGTTTAAAAAAATCCAAATTGAAATGTAATTATTTAAAAAAAAAACCCAAAAAACCCAATGAAATAAATTAAAAGCATTAATAATTTTCCCGTGATTAGGCAACCTCAACAAATTTTTCAAATTGAAAAAAATAAAAATAAAAATAAAATCAGGATAGGTGGACATTGGCGAGTTATGGATCGATGTGCAGCAAGGTTGGATATTACGCGTCCGGTCAACTATCAAGTCTTCTTTGTTAAGTCGACACACACTTTCCAGTAAGTCAGCAATCCACTCCATTAATTGTACCAAATTAAAATCAGCTGGCACGTCACGAGATGATGTGATCGCCACGTTTACTGCACTCCATTCCAACCTTACTACCGGCAAAAAATACAGATATGAAATATATTTACCACGTTCACACGATTGACCAAAAACAGCAGTTGTCCAACCAGTGCAGCAAAAAGTTTTAGTCCTATATTTAGTCCTAGAAAATACATATTTCACTGCATATTACTATATGTATGTATATCCATCATTGTCAAACAGTTAATGGAGCTAAATCCCTATTCTTTTGCTCCTAGAAATGAACACAAATGGGTCGCAACGCACATAATAATGTAATATGAATGTACCTAAACTGATTTACATTCAATCGTTTCTGTTTTTACTGTAACTTCTAACAGTTGTGTCCGGTAAAATACGCGAAGAGTCCGAACTAATAGGCAGTCTTTGCCGTCTGGTTTTTCTAGTCTACACCAGTAGTATTCTCCTACATGGATTATGTTTAGCTTCGTTCATCAAGCCGCTTCATACAAATGACGCTCGAAAGCGATTCTTCTGCCAATTTTAAAAAGATAACCCCATCAATGTTGATTAAAATTGACCAATAAGCCGTGTCGTCTGCAATGTTAAAGACTTGCCTCCTTTAAGTTGGTATGGTGATTTTTATTCCAGGCGTTTAAACTTTATAGAGAGATAAGTTTAAACTCATGGAATGAAAATCACCGTACCAACTTAAATGTTTGACAATGATTGAATTACATACACACAATGAAATAAAGTTGGGGCAGTGCATACACAAAGTCAGAATTAAGTCAAACTTAGGATAGCGTAATGTCGTACACGATCCTAAATCTGTTTCTTATTTCAAAGTGTGGGTTATGATTTTATTGGGTGATGCTTGCGTGTCTGGCCATGGCTACACAATCATGGACAATTGTTATACTATTAGCTATTACATTTTGATAGCATACACATATGAAGTAAATAAAATAAAACCAAGTACGAACAATCCAAACCATTAGACAAAATTCGAAGTCCTAAAAAAACGGTATAGGCAAAATAGTGTAATAAGGCAAAATAGTGTAATCAGCATATGGACTGTTCACCGTGTACAAAATACACGACAAACAGTGGTAACAGGTGTCCGGAATTATAAGCTTACCCTGCCTGGCGCCACACCCGCCATAGCTGCATCCAAACTATTAGGCGAAATCTCGGTAAAATAGCGTGATTGGCCAATGAACTATCGGTATGCAAAATGCACGTGATGAACAGTGTTAACGATGTAGTAGACACTTGTATTATTTCCAGTGGTCGAACTAGCTCTAGGTCTTAAAGGATTACTATTTCTAGAACAATTTGTTTAGTATAATCAAGTAAGCTTAAATACAATCACAATATCTTACCTATGGTGTGTACATCGACTCAACCAAAGAAATCCACAGGCTTTAGTGTATTTTTCTTGGTAGGATTCTTGTTCTGTACAAATATGGCTACTACAAATCAAATATAGAAACATATAATAATGAAATGTAATAACAAATCTGCAAATAATCAAGATCCTACCCCTTTTTCAAATAAATTCATAAAATTCTTCCCAGGTTGAATAACCTGTCAATTATACATTAATGTATCATAGATATTGTACATAGCGCACATTTATGGATAAACAAACATAATACAACACAATAAACGTATATCATTAGTAGACAAAATAAAAATTCGACCTAATAATGTACATTTCTGTCTTACACCATGATATAATTGTAACTTTGTAACACTATTATGTGTAATACTTTTAAATAGACAAACATGTTACAACACACACAAAAACGTATATCATTTGTAGACAAAATAGGGAGAGAGACAGAGAAATGGGGTTTAACGTCCACTCGACACAAACTAGGTCATTTCGGAACTAACATATGGTTTAATTTTATTTCAATAATTCGCTTGCGCACAGGGGTCTTTGTCAGTGGGGGGGAACCGGAGGACCTGGAGAAAACCCACGAGGTTGGACAGGCGACCCTACTCCTTGTCACGTACAACCGGGATTCGAAACCACGCCAGTCGACTCAATGACAGACTTTATGATACAGCGCGCGCACGCTTACCATTCAGGCATCCAACCCCCACTTGTTGGGAAAATAAATATTCGGAATAATATAGATTCCAGTCTTACACCATGATCATGATAGTAATGTATCATTGTTAATTGTATAATTGTAAAATATTACGTTGGACATTTCATGACAGATAATATAATCACGTATCTCTCGATATTTTCATTTTGATATTTACATATAAAGCTATGTATAACGGTAATCGAAATACATAATGTAAACAAAACTATATATTCTTTACTTTGTTATTTAATTTGTTGCGCTAAAAGGGTAAAAAGACAGAAAGTTTTCTGTTTCATGGATTCATAAAAGATCGAATATGAATTTCGTTTCTATAACAGCTAATTTCAAGTAATGATTTGACATAATGGTGTAGCACAAGAGGATAGTATAGCACTATTATCCTGACCACTCTCTTCAAAACGGCTTCGAAAGGAATAGGTGGTAATGACCTTCCTCACCTCGGCCAAATCACGTTTTGTTTTAAATAGAAATAAACTTTCACACGGACTAAATTGATTTGAATTTGAATAAATTGCTTGATACATGCAAGATTTATAACGTTTTGGCGCGACATTGAACTATATCTGCTTTTAAGCAATTGCATTACAAAATTTTAATTACTATAAACTTGTAGGTGGCAGCAGTGAACAAATCTATTGCATAGCATCACTAAATATGGTAACTATGTTCCTTTTTCCTAAAGATCGGATAGCTTCGATATAAGATCGAATTATTAAAGTTATGAGTCATTAAAACATTTATCTTCACAGTCTTGGTTTTATTGTTAAGTGTTTAATTTTATAAATATTAACTGAGTATAAAATCTGATAAAAACTGTGTTGTGGTATACACGGGTTATTCCGTGTCAAGTTGGACCAAATTTCGGAAAGTTGGGAACATCACCCCCTCCA